AGTCCATTTTAACCACTTGTTGTGTCCAACAATGTCCACTTGAGTCTTATCATGGTCTCGCCTTCAAACAGTGGTCATCGGTCAGCGGACACGTGAATTGCATGCCTGACCAACATGGCAAAACAGGAACGTTACCTGTAATGACTGGACCCGTATCTTGAGACATCGGTGACTCGTGGCCACATGGCTAAATAGGTAAACAGTGTGAGGCTGGCTTTATGAGCTATCAGCGGCTTGGTGATGTTGTACAAAACGTAGCGATAAACTCGACAAATTCACAAATTTAACATTGTTTGATTGTTACATGAAACTGACTTTCATGTAGACGTGCACTATGACACCGAAACCCACTTTCGTTGTAACACATGACTTTTCACTATCGGAACTTTCTACCTGTGTTGGATTCAGTGAAAGATTCCCCTTTTAATTTGTAATCATGAAATAAGTAAAGGCTGCCTATCAGTGTTGAACGACATGCAATTTGCTGTGTACATTCGCATGAAATGAAAATATGTAAAAGTAATCCACGTGGTTACACGCAGAATACCATATTTGCCATAAAAGAATGATTTATCATGAAATATCATGAATAGGCTTAAACAGGCTTCCTAATGTTTATTCTATGTGCCATGTCGGTTGCAATCAAGGAAGATCTTTATACCTCATAATATAGAAAAACACGATTTACAGAAAGCTATTTAATATATTTTAGAATAAAAAGGATTTGACTTAAGATTATTTAAACATTGGTCATTTGGGGTCTTTGGCGTAAAGGAATAAACTATCGTGGTCATACTACCCATCAATCTCAGTATATGTAGCTTTCTGTACGTCAGTTCATGTTTCATGTAAGCAGACACTATCGTAAAATGCGTACAACGCAAAGCTAACATTCGTTTTAATCGTCGTTGAACGAGGCTTTGTTTATGTTTCCAGAACACTATAGTGCTTCAGGTCGTTATGTTTAACATATCTTTATATTTACAACGTGAGCTTCAACCGTGGTACAACCATCTGTTGCGAACATGCACCACCTTCAGTGATGTGCACACGACCACAAGATATATTTGGATGCTTAATTGTTCATTTGTAAGATATGGGTTTATTTCATACAGAAGCTGTTTGCTTCTTATGCTAATCTTGTTTACTAACACTCTTAGCATGTCACGAAATTAAGATGTAATTTATTATACATGACTCTTGACCCATTTTATGGCGTCTGATAACCCTAAATGTTGGAATAGTGAAATATGTCACGTTGGGGCTATTGCGCTATCATAGCGGAGCTTAAACAACTTTAAAAAGCCTGAATGAGATCATATGAACTATAAGCCCACACATTGACATGCTGGTCTATACTATTCAAGGTATGAGAACTGAACTGCCAAACAAAAGGGTATACACATAAACACATAAAATCGCAAACGTCATCAAAACGTTACTAGGCTGAAAATGCTCGTTGAAACATTACAAACATGAGGTTAAAACTATGGGTATCAGATCCAGATGTATCACCATCGAATATTTTTTGTTTGTTTCATTTTGGCCACCATTGCACATGAATGTTTATTTTCATTTACCCGTCATTTAGTATTTGGATTCAGTTTGCAGGGGGGAGGTGGGGAGACATCGCATTAATCAGATCAACAGAATGTGTTTATACCTGTTTTGATTGAATAAACCCCATACATTTAAATGAAAGAAAAGATATAAAGAAATAACTCATGTCGTTAAGGTTTGGTCTCAGTTGATTGTGTAGAGATGTTTACTCCTTTAAATACCCCGTTGTATATTGTTCAACATGACGATTACCTACATGTATGCTCCAGGGTCCTTATTCTCGAAACGTTCGCAGCCCTAAGAATTCTTAACTTTTGTCGTAGCCAATGTGTTAAGAATGGGCTTAAGAAGTTCGTACGGCTACAAACGTTTCGAGAATAGCTAGCCAGGTTCATATACTCGTAAATGTTACTCTATGTTGGAAGTGATTTACATCACAAGATTAAAGTTTGTACATTTTGAATATGAAATACAAAAATCCATCTTTGATCAAGAGATTATTCTTAAATGTGTTTTGTGAAACATGGATACTGTAGATCATGAACTATATGCTTGTTTAACAGCTTTTTTCCACACCATAAACTCGAGATTTACGCTATATGGCCTCATCAACGACAAAGAAATGAAATAAGTGCACGAAAACTACGCAAGCTAAATGCAGTAATACTATTGCCTGTGTTTAAACTGAATTGATAGAAATAATATTTATTCGAATTTAAATATACCGAAAATAGAATCCACAATTATGAAAAGGGCCAAACGTAGAAACCAGCAGTGAATTGAATTTTCGAGCACAAATAATCACCAGTCGAGTCAAATACGAACGATAAATAGCTATATAATTTTGGATTGAATTTTTTCAAGGGCTATCAAGAGCCTTGCGCAACTCATGTTTTAAATAGATTTATCACAATTCCAAATGATGGTTTGCAAATTTGCCTAATACGCAAAGAATTACTATAGTCCACAGTCCTCGATTGGGCTCTGTTTGCTGTTTACGTGCATTCGGAGATGCTTTTATACTGCGCCTGATAAGGCACTAGACCCAAAGCAAAGTCAGACAATTTTGTCAAACAATTGTTGGTTGAACGAGGTATTGGGTGTCACTTCAAAGGAAATGTTATGAAATCAACACAAAATCAACATACCTTTAATAACTCAATATTATGAGCTGTTGAGAGGTTGTCTGGACGTTTAATGGATAACGTGAATGGGATGGGACACCCGTATTAAAATGATATCTACCCGTATCTGATTTTGTGATATATTGTCGATTTCGTGTGTATGCATATATTATAGATATTTTACCATCTATGTTCAAACGGTGTGCGGTGACTTGGACAAGCTGAGATTTTACAAAGCAATTTGTCATTTGAGATTATGTTTACATGGTTAAAAAGACATGTGATATTGAAATAGAAAAATACCCGTGGCAAAACATTAATGTGAAATACGGATTCATTTTCATATTTTCCCAAATATTACTGTAATGATATATAAATGCTCTTTTATTGTACTACACTGAAAATAGATATTTGTAAAGTTTCTTTCATCGAATCTGTATGTATATCTGTAGTATAGTACTTGTGCGTTGATCTATATATCTCTAGTATGTTTTTCATTATATGTATATTGACGTACGTTTAAGGACAACGTAAAAAACGTATACGTTAATAATAATTCCTCACTGAAACATGTTAACTTTATGATTTTAATAAATGAATAATTTGACATATCAGTTAACATTTTATTATGTATATTAATGTTATATTATTATCATCTTCAAAATAATATATGAAAGTTAATGATTTTTATTGGTTTCCATGTGTAAGAGACGGAAGCAGACTGCAAGCAAAATATAAACACAGGTGTATAACGACATAAAATATGCAGTATAAATGTCCATGGAATAGATAATATCATTTTCTAAAATAAACTATTAGGTTCCACAATCCCATTGTGTTTACTGACCACCCTACACACAAATGCACCTTCAAGTGTTAAAAATCGCTGATTTAATATCAAGATTTCGCTGGAGGAAACTTTAATGTGTTCTTCCTCTGAAATTCATCTCATGTCACTTTGGTGTGAAAAGCACTTTAGTAGGATTCGTTTTATGATCTTGCCCGTAAAATAGCGTTATGCGTTGCTTTTCTCTTATTCTTAAAGCTGATACCAAAGGTATACCCCGAATCATGAGCCTTGTAGCAAATGAAAGAGTATTTGGTACCCCTATTAACATAAAAGGGTGTTTGGGGTTAGAACTTACAATAAGATTACAGAAAGCGCACTGGATCAGTGCAAGACTATGGAGTGTTGGAGGACAATGTAACTTTATATGCCTTTTCAATTTGCTGGGTGGCTGCTTTTCAGAGCCGTTCGTTTCACCAAAGATATTTTTAACACTTAGGTGCGTTTTTAAGTTCTATTCAATAACCTTGACATGGTTATTCATGGTATTAGCTAAATTAATGAACATTGGAATGAAAGTTGGCTTGTTCAGACCGGAAGAACAGACACCGTTGGTGTATTTAATTGCGTATGTAATATCACAGTGGGAATCCAAAATTATGTGTGTTACATTTAAAAATTACTTATTTTGTATTAATGAGTTTTCGTCATATAGGTGAAAAACTGTGTTTAAAATCAAGGATTGTACTATTATTATTATAAATAGCTATGTGATTATTCATATTTTGTAAATGAACATTACGTATGACAAACTCTATGATCCTGTGATTTGTACATTTTTCATAGCGTATTTGTTAATTAAAAAAAACGTGATTTAACTTCAGTCCATTATTTCTTCTTGATAGCCCGTCGTTACATATACACGTGGTCAGATCACACGTATCTGTTTGGCATTTTCTCTATGAAAACAGTTATGGCTATAGAAACTCAACTGGATGAATAAATATGTACATGAATGTAATATAAATATGGTGACTACATGACTACAAAATACATGCGATATTTCACCAAGACGTGGGATGATTTACATAACATGTATGCATAAACAGCCAACTAAAACACCGGTGTGACCTACTTTGGAATATATATTGCATTCGGGGTGGATCACGACCCGAATGAAATATGTCTTTCTCAGAGTTCAAAAGATTTGTCATGTATATTTGTTTAGGTTATTCAGCAAATACGTGAAAGTACAGTCTGCTAGATCCCGTGGTTTTACGGGTATTTCTGGATTTGAATCGTGCGTGTAGAGTTATGACTATCTCGAGGAGGTCATTTTGGAAAGGTATTTCCGTAAACATATTACGCCGCTTAGTCGTGTGGTGTACAGAGTTGAGACAGGAGTTACTTCTTCTTTCGTTGATTTTAAGGGTACATTGTATACATAGAGTGATAATATCCGAATGAAGGGTTACTATTTGTGGTGCAGACCAGCGATGATTTTCGTAGGTTATTGAAATTGAACTCACCTTTTGAAAACGCATGATGTCTCCCATCCAACAACGCATACTCGTGAGCACGATATGGAGGAAAGGGGTACATCTGACTTAGCAGTGTTCCGTTGTAAGCCATTGGCGATGTGAGGTAACTGTGTGAAAGAAGGGAAGGGTCGTACACTGCCACAGGTTTGTATAAGTTCGGAGGTGCAATTGTATGTGAAATTGGACTAGATTGGAGAGCAACTGGGTTGAAAGGCGTAGGTCTTGCTGGTGTAGAGTTTGACACAGATGAACCAGTCGTATTGCCTAAAATGTCATCAATTCGGAACGATGTCTGTCCGCCTGGTGAAGTGTTCCCGTGGTGTTGTACCCCCGGCGGTGATGTCTGAAGGGTGGGGTACAGAGCTGACAGCCCCCCTGGAAGCATATGCTGGGGATGCTGCGCAAGAGGATGCATCATGGCGACGTTGGCAAATGTCGTCTGCAAGTGTCGTCTGCTTCCGTACGAATTTCCAGGGGAAATATTTTCATCAAACATTCACAGAAGTATGTCCCAAAGACGATCCAGATATACAAACGCACGTTTTGGACGACCAGGCAATCACTGAAATGAAATCAAATAATACAGTTCACTCCATTGTTCTACGCACATCGCTCATTAAATTATGTCGCTTAACTGCTCACAATACCCGTTATATCTTCTACTCCTAAATTTCCGTGTTATTAAAGGCCCTTAAGTGACTACATCTCGTCACATGTCGAGACGAAGCCACCATACGGAGGTGGGAGTGGCGATTCGACGCTATCACTGTGAAGTGGTAGCGGTAGATGCTTATAGGTCAGCTCGTATAATTAATGGCATCTACCCATGTTCGTTTACCAGGTCCTGATTGATGACATACTCTGACATGGACCCCTCACACCCCCGACACTTCAAATGTGGACTCTCCCGAAGAGGAAAGGAGTCCCAGTCAGTCACTGCCCAATTCGTATAAGAGGTGGGCGGAACCAACAAGCATCAATCAAGCTAAAGAAAGTTTTCAACTGTTCCGCTGCTTGTCGCCACGCCCCCTGTTTAAGATAAGCTGAAATCAGCTATGGGATACTTACAGTGTTTTGTTAAGCTCACTTATTGAACACATCTAACACGGGCATCTAAACCGCTCACTCACTCGGGGTTTCTTACATAACTATGTACTCTACTAAACTTGGAGCAATTTTGGACAAACATTCAACAACCTGAAGTACATTAGTTGGTAGGTTCCAAGGATACGAACCGTATCAATTACCGTAAAGGAGGTTGATGAATATATATGATAGGACAAACATTGTCTTTAAACCAAAAATATGTACTGTGGTTTTTTTTTTTTTTTTTTTGTTTTGTTGTGTGTTTGGGTTTTTAGGGGGAGGGGTCTGGACATATTTTAAACGAATAAATGATTTAGACACAAACTTTTTGGAAACTACATTGCTAAAGACTGTCCAGAGTATGGAAAACGGGTAATATGCTGCAGCTATAGAAGGTTCACATAAAGTGCATACGATACAATATAAAACTTGACGAATGAAATACACAGAACATTAGTATCAATGTTCAATGTCATCTCATATTTAGGACGTGCTTTACCTGAATTTAAAAAATACATGTATGTCCAAAATATATATGCATATGAATTGGTGAAATATAAAATACCAGTTTGAGAGAAAGAAGAATCTTTAGAAGTATCTATCTGTCTTTAAGGTAAATAAGTTGACACCATTAATATCCAATTTCATTGATATAGAAGAATAATGAAAAGTTTATATTTCTTACTGCATACGAAAATATAGACAATATGTGTCATGTATATCGTGCGTGCAAAATTCTTGATAGGTATTATATATATCATCATTACCACTTGTACCATATGTCTCATATAACAGGCATATCCTCTGTACCAAATGCCATATATACATGTATCATGCATACTGTAATGTACCATATGTATCATGTGAACATGTGTCATGTATATCATTTCATGTATGTGCTATATATGATAGCTTCTTGGTACTATAGACTCTAAAAAGTTCCAAATCGACAAAAAATATACAAAGGGGTAGAAGAATAATGATATGTGCTGACTTTAATTAATTCCATAGTACATTTCAGGATGTAACATAAATAATGAGCGCATCAGGAAACTCTGATTTCTCATTGCCAAAGCATGTGTATTACTGCCTGGAATAATATAATGTTAATATTTACAGGTCATACTGACCAAAGACAAAGTATAAAGACTAAACGTTATTAACTATATTTTAACTTTTAGTTGCTAACCGGCTTCAGAGCGTTGTATTTGCAAACAAAATATAACGTGTTATCGAACAACATTAATCTGCAGAATAAACAATACAAACATGTCATTAAGACATATTTGATATATTTAAATAGAATGATATGAAAAATATACATCCAATACATTTAATTCGTTTTTGCATTTCTTTGCAAAATAGCGTTGCAGTACATATATATGATGGGTTCAATGGTGCAGGTAAAACATAATGTATTTTACAAAGCTTAATTGTGACTCAAACCGAACAGGACCTTTATGAACGCAATTTAATTCCGCTCTGTGCAACAAATTTCTCCAGCTGTTTGTTATCATAGAAGAACACACACATGTACGGGAAATGCTTGTACAGATTGCAAGATAGGTATAACATAACGTACCATTGTTATAGTAGTGTTCCGCTGTGCAAAGATTGTACTATCTGGCAGGTTGTATTGTGTAGGGCGATGATTAGATATATTTCAATTATGAAATTTTTCATCATTCATTCTATGAACGACTTTGTTTTGCATGACTCTAAATTTCTACAAAACATGTGTGTATTCCACGGTTCCAAATTTGAAGTCCAACATATTTTTGTCGTAACACATAAACTTACTATTGTATCCAAAAAGATACGTGTTTGATATTGTAAAATACATGTTTGATAAGTATTTACAAAAGGACATACTCGTTGGGTTTAAAACCGCAAATATGTGCGCATAATGCTCAGTATGGAATCACAAACAAGCAGGGTGCATGAACTTGGCACCTTTTGACCTGAGTATGATGCTAATAGCTAGTAGCTGCAGAATGCATGTAAGAGTTAAAACAATCATCAAACTAGCGCAATATGAGCATCCAAATGATAATTTCAAAAAGAGCAAGAAGATGAGAACATGAAATTCCAGTGCAAATCAAAAGAACGCTATCAACTAAAATGAAAAGTAATGATTATTTGGGGGAAAATCTAATGAAAATACAACTTATAAAAAGAAATGAAAGTGGTTGTACAAATGAAGTAAACTCTTGGTTTAAATGCTTGAAGTTAAAAGTGAAGCATTTATGTGACATGACAATCCATATTTACACTGACATCATGTTGTTTAACTATGTTGTGTTCAGGTGTTACCTTTTCTCTCTGGAGCTTTCATTTAAAGCGTGCATTGAAGGCAAGCAGATACCCTCTTCTCCGAAACTGTGATATATTCTCTATTTTAAACCATCGAAGTATTTGTTTTGTCAGTAACAAAACTAGTAAATATTAGTAGGGATCACGGAATGTGTGTGTGTGTGTGTGTGTGTGGGAGAGAGAGAGAGAGAGAGAGAGAGAATGAACGACTTGGATAGAATAAATCCCATGGTACATCATAGACTTTCAGTTCATTTAAGGTTATCATTATTACGATAACATTACACCATATCATCACTTTCAAATCGTTATCGTCATGTCATATTAAAGTATTATACCATAGGCTGCTACAACATCCTCAGAGACGCAGAGATATATCATAATATCATCCCAGAAGGTGATATCTACCCAGAGTAGCAATACAGCGTCACATCTATACAGAATACTACATCATCACCGACTTGTATATTACCACAGATTATATCTCTACAGTATATTATTTCTTACTGGAATATCATATCAACAAAGAATTATAAAACTGAAATATGCACAAGAACAATGAAATAATTACCAAGGATATATAAGAACTTTCCAACTAAAGGATCGTAAACAATATTAAGGATGACAACTCCTGGTTGATATCCATAAAGCTGTATGTTTTCTTTACTACTCACCAACAAGCAGTTAACGTGGAGAGGCTTGCATAAATTGAACCCATGTCTCACCTACAGTTTTGAATAGATGACCAATGTACATATTTACAAAAATAATGAATTTTCTGACGTGTTTGAAGGGGATGTTAACACCCGATGTTATATATTTTCGGTTACTAGGAAATTATGAATATATATTAAACATACATACAAGGGTAATTAAAAATACAATCTGGAAACGGAAACATTATTTTAACATGAACCGTATGTCATTTCCATGGTGTATGACACATAGCCTGTTTAGTGCATCCCTTTGATGTAATTCACTAAACATAGTGTCTCGTAAGCCAATGTTATGGCTGGGTGATATGTGTTATCTAGACATATGAAATATTGTTTTACCTGTAACATATCACGTGACACTTTAATAAAATATTTCTGTCTGTCTGTCTGTAATTCACTAAACATAATTTTCATGCGCGGGGAAAGTGAAATAAATAATGAGGTGTACGGATGCATAGATGGACAAGCATCGTGAGAGGCGTATCTCATTCGTTTCCTATTTAACCAAATGGATGAATCATACACTGCACTCTATGTATTTCCCACGGCCCAAACGCAACGTGAATATGCGTTTTCCGTCAAATACTTAAAATAATATTAAAATGCATCTGTCCGTGTGTTTGCTTTGTTTAATTATTGAAAATATGTAAAATTTACATATATTTGTCGTCAATATATTGTTTAAACTAAAAATACATTATAATTCAGTTTGAATTTGAAGCGGGTGATAGTAAAATACTTAGTTTTAGTTTAATTTAGATTTTGGAATACATTGATTTAAGGCATTTATTACATATCAGTTATATTAACAAATTTAGATATCTTCCAGGATGCAGTATACTTGACATCCGTAAAACAGTAAAACATTTGTGTGAATAAAAAAGAAAATATCACAGTATCTGCTTTATACGCCGAATCTGCAATAAATATTGCATTTCTTTTAATTGTGTTTAAAAGTATTTCCCAAATTGTGTGCATCCATTTTGTCATAGTTCAACAGTGTATCAATAGGCTTGCGATGGGGAGCTGGAACTTGTAAAAATATTCAGGATTGCAGGTGTATATGACATATTAATTTCCTTGTTCGGAGAAACATTTCATGAGCAATAATGAAATTAAATTTATCATAAAATTAATGTATAAAATCACTTGCTGACTTGGGTTCCTGGTAAATTACGTTCCTCGTTTCCCGAAAACATCCTCATAGCGCTACAATCCAAAATGATTTACAATAAATTTATACGAAGGCCTACACGTCAAAGGGCATTTAATGGACGCATGATAGAGACCGTGAGTTTTTTTCTGGTCTTGGGACAGAGGAAGACAGTGAAATTTAAGATGGTCGTCGTTAGTTCTGTAGTCCGTATATGCTAGCTTATCAAACAATCATTTATATAGCCGTATTTCGCTCTGGCGCCACGTCTTGCTTGGCCTCTTGGTCCATTGATAAGAGAGATCAGTGTATGATTTCTTTTCCCTTTCGCATTTGGCGTTTAAATAAGACAAGCTGCCAGTCAGGCAGTGGAGAGTGGGTTGTTTGTTTACGGTGTATGGTGAAGTTATCGTTTTGTTTGTACGCCAGCCTACCACAGTATAAC